TTTGAAATATCAATGCTACTCTTAATTAAGTAAAGTTTTCAGCACCTCCAAATCAATCTAGCTATATGACAACATAAGTAACAAAACCCAGCTGACTCAGTCAACAGTCCTTGGGGTTTTATATTCAATGCTGCCCAAGGTACATTGCCCTGTGGCACAGGAAAAAGGAAGGCTGAGATTTTTTTAAGAGTTGCAAATTAACATTCTTGGTGGTGCAGGAAAAACTCAAGGTCCAGGAAGAAGCAATCTGAATGGTTTGAGCAGGAGATTGGACTACAGACCTTCCAAGTTATTTTCAAATCTAAATGAGTATACTGTTTTAAGCCTGAGGAGTCTCATCCTCCTCCTTAACAAAGAGGTTTTAGCACTACTCTGGCAATATGGCACCTTTTTTAACACTTGCTCCATACTCTCCTTAACTGCGGGGATGTAGGTGACAAGAAGTGACCTGACAGCCTACTTCCCTACTATTTTTCTTTCCAACAGCCTCACAGTCATTCTCATATCCCATATGCTGTTCCTTGTACATCATGGCATTTCTTTATTCCCCACATCTGGTGAACATGCAATGATACAGTGGGCATTCTCTTTATTACTCACAAATTAATATAGTTATGGATGTAACCAGCTGGGAATGCACTGTTCTTGCCTACAAATTGGCCACCACTGCATTAGAATAATAAAGAAATGCCATGATTTGAAATTGAGCAATAAATTTATAATTCAGTTTTCAAAAAGTTAAATGTAGTTCTCATTCCCTCTTAAGCCTTCTGGGTCAGTTTTTTTATTCCTTGTATAGCATACTGGAATTATTTTAATTTCAATTTAAAAACTGCTGTTTTTTCTTAATTCCATATGCAAATTGGAAAGAAATGCAATACCAAAATTCCTACCTGACTGATGCAATTCACAAAAAATACATCAGATTTGTACTCTGAGGTAATGCATCACATCTGTGATGTGATGGCCCAGAGTGGTCATGCATACATAGGTAAACCAGAAGTATTTAATAATTATTCCCAGTGCAGATGAAAACATCTTCTGCTGCTAGGGAGATTCGTGTAACCTGAGAAATCTCTAAAACTGAAGAAAATCTGCCATTAGAGATAGGTGACAATCTTTTCAGTTCTTCCTGATAATGTTTATAATGGAAATAAATTACAGTAAATGTTATCTTAAAATATTTATTCAACACAATTTCACCAATAATTTAAAATGGGCAGTAGTTTTCATTTTCCTATACAGTGCACTAGATCAGAAAAGGGAAGTGAAACAGAGTAACAAAATACAGCTTTAGAGAAACTCGGCCTCTATTCAAAACATAAGCTAACTTACCGCCAGTGCCTCAGCTCCAAGGAGTAGGTTTACGAGCTGACAACTTGACAGTATTTCTTTGTTATGACTGGTTGAGGATGTCCAATTGTCATACAATAATTTTCAGTAATTAGTATACATATTAGAAGTAACTCATCTTTTCACAAGAACAATGTTCTTTTGGATAAACAATAGCTTCTGCAACACTGAATTATAGAGGCCAAGATACTAATTTATGGTGGGTTACAATTATACATGTTGTGGGCCACAAGCACTCTGTGGGCTGTGTAATGAAGGCCAATAGTTTAAAAACTGATTAGAATTACAAATAATCTGCCAGGTGTTTTCATTGCTGTTTTGGAAGACAGCATTATCCCAGTCTTGAGTCTCCAAAGCCAAGATGAAAGAAAATACTATGGAAAACTCTATGGTCAATAACATTTCAGAAATATCTTTCTCAAATTGTGTATTACTTTTATACCACTGATCAAGAATACAGGTAGGACTGTGTGGCACTACCATTGATGTTAACATAGAATCTCGTCATTCCACACATGTGTTACACTGGCCTTGTAAATGGTTCTCTTAGACTATCTGTAAGAGGTTTGTGGGCACAAAATAAATTAAGAGCAGAATAATTATAGAAGAATGGTACAATAGACAGTTGGATTTATCTGTACTTACATCACAGGGGTAAGTTACAACTCTCTACTTCACATCATTATATGAAAATCTGAAATATTCCTTATAAATAAATTCAGAATAAACAAAAAAAAGTTTCCAAAGTCCTCTCCTTTTCTTCCCACTAGAATTTCAATGCAGAATTTCAGATATATCTAAGAAAATAGTATTGTATTAATATGTGTAATGGTTTTCTATGATGGGGAGTCAATCAACAACATTACCATAAGCAAGGTTACCATAAACATGAGCTCTACATTTCCGGGATCCAGCTATAAAATATAAAATTTAATAAAATAATAAAGAGAACAAAATAAAATGTCTAATGTAGTGTTTTGATTTAAAGGGGAAAAAATATTAGTATTTTCGTATTGAATCATAGAATCATAGAATATCCTGAGTTGGAAGGGACTCACAAGGATCATCAAATTCCAACTCCCGGCCCTGCACAGGACGATCCCCAAGAGTCAAATCATGTGCCTGAGAGCATTGTCCAAACACTTATTGAACTCTGTCAGGCTTGGTGCTGTGACCAGTTCCCTGGGGAGCCTGTTCCAGTGCCCAAACACCCTCTGGGTGACAATCTCTTTCCTAAGATCCAAGCTAAACCTCCCCTGACATTGCTTCAAACTATTCCCTTGTCACTGGCTACCACGAGGAAGAGGTCAGTGCCTGTCCCTCCTCTCCCCCTCACAAGGAAGTTGCAGACTGCAATGAGGTCTTCTCTCAGTTTCCTCTTCTTGAAGCTAAACAAGAAGAGCATTTACATGGATAGTATTAATGTTTTCATTTGGGAATGGCCATGATGTAAGCAATACCATTTGGGTTCTTTCAACAACTTTAAGCAGCTCTAGAGTAGAAGGGGCTTTAGAGAAAACAGGTCATAATGCAGGATATGAGCATATACTCTGACATTCAGAATGAGAAAAAAAAATCACACTCTTGTGGATTTAAAAGATTAGCATTAAGTACTTTCCAGTGTTAAAACTAAGGAGCTTTATGAGACCGTACATGTCATTAAGATATTTTCTGAAGTCTAACTGTCCTGGAAAGTCCACTGCCTACATACACAGATATTTTATGGATACACAAATGATAAAATATGTTGCATTATTAAATTATTTATGGATTATAAATATAATAAAATATTCAGACCAGGTCTGATACTAAACACATATTTGATTGAAATTGCTAAGGGAAGGTAATTGCTGTGCTCAACTGGCAAATGTAACTGTTTTCAGAAGTACTATATAAGGAACATAAAAAATATAAAAATAAAATATAGATATAAAGAGCATTAACTGGATTTGCAGCATCCAAAATGTCAAAACTACAACACCATTCATCAGTTCAGAGTGAAACTATTTTGCTATCATTCAGTACAGATGCACCTTATTAAATTTCAGTTGTTAAGGAACAGTAAGTAGATGGGGTTTACCTTACAGATTTCCTCAGAGCATATGCCACTGTTATACTTTCCCAAGGGTTGTGTTATAGATAAAATAACAGCACATTCAAGTTTGCATTTAATACTTAGAGAAAATAATAAATGTCAAATTTGACTTTGACTTAACTTTTTTTAAATTACAAATTTAATTTTATTAAATTACAAGCTGCATACTAAAATGCCCTCATTGTGTGGATACTAATCTAAATTTTTTTCCTGCAGCTCTTTAATTTTGTACTCATAAATCCTTTAAAATTCATCAGATCTGAATGGCAAAGTTTTTAGACACCTGAAAATTTTCTGTGATGTGAATATACATTTCCAAGACCATTAATACTCTCCAAGTTTATAATTTGTTTGGGTTAAAACTTGTTACAGGCTACAGCTTAAATGAAAACTGCATTTAAAATATATAACTTCATAAACATTAAAATGTGTGTTGAGTGTATGTGCTTAATTGAGGAATCTCTGAAATTTTTAAATAATGCCTTAAAAATCCAAAATGTAACATTTCCAACTATTTGTAACAGATTTTCTAAATCCAGCATTTTTTAAAAAATAGGTATGAATGCTCCTGTCCAGTGCAGACGAAAATCACTACGCAACAGCGGTTTTCTAAATCTTATTGCACCAAAAACAATTGCATTTGTGGAAACTGAAGTGTGAAAAGCTTTTAGGAATGATAAGAAGGGAACTGAATAACAGTACATGTTTCTGCATAAGGGTAACTGCAAATGGTGATCTTTGCAACAGGGTAAAACCCTTCAGCTTCATTTTGGGAGCTCATTCTGCCTTTAACCATCTCTGTAGGATAAAGGAAATTTAGGTCTTGATTAACATAATGTGCAAAATATTAAAGAAATTGAGGAAAAAAATTAAATAAAGTCAAGATTCTGCTGAAAATAATGAGGCTGCACAGATTTTGGAGAGAGAAGATATAGCCTTTGTACTCTACAATAGCCAAAAGATGTTCTCAAAAAAATGAAGGTAGACAAAACCATGAAATAGGTATCATGGTCCTGAGCTTCTAAGTTGTCTGTAGATGACTTTCTTTACGTATGTGATGCTTACTGTAGATCAAGTTGAAAATTAACATTAAACAATAAATGTTTATCAAGAAAAAGTCTTTGCTACATATTGGTTAAACTTGGATTTTGAACTAATCTGTATATTTACAATTAATCTAGGTTTCCATCATTTTCTTGGTGAAGTCCTTAGGAATTTTCAGGTTTTAGTGGAAAAAAAAAAAAAAGACTTCTAACCAATCTTCTGACTTCTTAATGTTCCGATCTACAGTAAGAGAATCCATTTCTAACAGATCTAAGCCCTGTTGTGTGACCAGCCCACTTGAACTTCCCTGTCAAAACCTAAAAATACCTATTTCTGTTTTTATGACCATTGTATTCTAGAGAGAGAACTGTTAATACTGATCTTTGTTCAAGTGCATTCTGAAAGAGGAAAACGTGCTCATGCAGGTCTTTTTACAAAACTGTGTTCCAGTAGCCAGATTGGACTAGGACCCCTGAAGAAAACAGTAATTTTTATCTATTGGGTAAACAGTCCTGAGACAGTAATTTATAGATTCTTTTATGATTTTAGGGAAAAAAAAAAAAGACTTTTTTTCTGTTCTTTAAAATATCCTCTGCTGCTTTGTCTGAGTTGTTTGTTTTGCCTACTGGCTATATGAAGTTTACTGTCATATCAATCACCCTGGAAAAAAACAAACCAAACTTCCAAGCTGGCAAACTCTCTTTCATTCTTATCTGACTGGTCTGTACCAATGCCTACTGAAAACAGACATGCTTATTAAGACACTATTTACCAGCATTGGATAATCCCTGTGCTAGCTGACACGCAAAATGGTTTGCAGCTACTTTAATCTCTGACATAATCAAACAAGTAACAGCATCTTTTGACCACCACTGCTCAAAAAACCAGCAATATACCTTACCAAAGAGGGTTGGTATGTCCTAGCTGAAGAGCCAAAGGCAAATTTTAAAAAATGAAATAATATTTAAACAATTACTTCTATTAGCAAAGAATAGGTCTGCCCAGCTATTAGTATCTAAGTAAAATGTGTATACACCTGTTCAGTTTCTCAAAAGTGCTATTTCAGCTAATTTAACCATTCATTCCTCTTAGGGACACATTTTACTGGGAAATTCAAGCTACTGAAATCAACCTGAGTAAATAATGCAGATAAAAGATTTTTGATAATAGAAAATTTTGGCTGACTGAAAATGCTTAAAGACTATGGCAGCACAGAATACTGGTGGATGACTAGACGGTTTTGCATTCCATATGTCACAAGCACAAGTTTCAACTAACAAACTTGTTATGATCTAACTACCAGCACTGGAACTGCAGTGCTAGAAAATATGACAGATAAATAATTCACCTGAAGAGATCATTATTTTCCAAGAATGAATGTAATTAGAATATACAGGAGGCTTTCCCCTCCTTCCTTAGCAGACAGACAGAATCATAAAGTAATAAAACTGTAGAATTGTGTTCTTTTCTTCATGTCTGCCACTTTAATTTGATTTGTACCAAATTCAAATATACTGGCATATGCCATTTGAGTTGAAATAACCCCTTGTATTCCCATGGGGTTTATTTGCATTGCAGAAACAGGTATAACCTAATTTCCTGTCTATGACTTAATCAAGCAACCTCTTAAAAATTATGGTCCCAAAAACCCTGTTATTCCTAGATAGTACAATCAACACACATTATTTCATGTTCAAAATGGATAGAAAGAGCAGGAAATGTCTGCCTTGCAGTTTATCAAAACCTCTGCTCCTTCATCAAGAAGCAGGAGACAATTCTGCTGGAGCAGGGTTACATCTCAACTCCTAACACTCTAAATACCTTCTATTCATGTCTTTTGGACATAACGCTCTTACTGGAAGGCTAGCAGGATCCCATTTTGGAACTGGACTTCAGAGCAGGTTCTGAGTCAGCTTTTCTCTTTTCCAATAAAAAAAGGAAGGGTTATGACGGGATTTTTAGTTCTATGTTGAAATGACAGTGAACACTAGGAGATATTTCTGTATTTCCAACTCAATAAAGAGGGTTTCAAAATTTTTATTTTATTAGATATACTAAATTTGGGGAGTTTGTGCAACAAATTCAGATTCAGCGCAGCTTCTGAATGGTGACTTAATAAAGGATATGTTTTCTCAAAAATCCTTTTTTTTTTTTTATACTTACATTCATGAGTCTGATAAGAGACAATACACTATGACTCTTGGAGCAAATAATAAATTAAAGTACACATCCATTTGAAATTCTTTAAAAGTACAAGCTGCATTTCTTCAGTACGTCTTAAATTTTCATTATTTTAAAGATTAAATTTTAAAGAAAATACTTAAATCACAGTTCTTTCTCTATTGTACCTATACATTCTTCAGAAGGTCTCTTTGAAGAGATAATACAAGACTCCCAACACCTTAACTTGATGTTTAGTGTGTGTGTGATTTCACTGTCATGAATCCCAGTAACTCAGTTTTTGGGTTGTTTGTTGAACTGTTTACTGAATTTCTTTGGCCTCAGGCAACTGCCTATAGTATCCTATGACGTTGCAATCATCAAAAAGATCTTCTGCAAAGTCATTGTGGCTCATTTTTTCATCAATGCATTGCCAGTTGAGACACTTTGAAGTTGAGACTTCAGATCCCTTATTGTCTAATTAGATAGTTTAAAATTATTTTAACTAAAATTGCTCTATCATATAATGGTAGGTTCAGGCCTTTTAAAACAAAACAAAACAAAATAAAACAAAACTATTTTTGGCTGTAGTATGTGAGCCATAGCTATGAAACTGATATTACTTTTGCATAGTTGTCTTACTATTGACTATGGGTCAAAATGTAAATCACCTGGTAAAGAATTTTTAGTGGTTCAAGTTTTGATGCACTCTGTACAACTTGCCAGACAAACAACAATGCATTCTGGAAATTCCCCTGCTATTCAGCTAAATAATCTTTTAGACAAGCTATTTAAAATACAAGGTTGTAAGCAATTACATAAAGCTCTAGAACTAAAATTTCATAATGAAAGGGCAAACGTTTCCACATCTTTAAAGAATACTTCCTAAATTGATAGAAGACAGGAGGTTATGGTCTTTTACTGAAGATGATGCCTTTCTTAGAAAATTTTTCTTTTTCTTAAGAAGTAGTCAAGACACGTTCAGTGATTCATTACTGAGTAACACAATTAAAACTGACAATTATCATGCATCTTATCTTTGTAACAAAGGTGAGTAAAATGAAAAAGCTCCAGATAAAACTAGGGACACCAGTGTGTCTCTGGTTTTCCTAGATCCCTGCTAATCAAGATCGTGCATTTAGGATAACGACGGATGTTTTTGCTGACAGGCAATTATCTTACTATCATAAGTTGGTAGTTTGGTGGTTATTTATACTTATAGTCTCCATGAAATACTGAAAAAGCAGGCTATATAGGTGTCATTCCTTTTTTTGATCGGATCTTTTTCCCTTTGGTGTACACATGAAGCAACTAAAATGAAGTAAAGAAGTAATTTAGGTTGATGAGGTATTTGAAAATTTTGAAGTTCCTTACTGCAGTATAGACACCACACAATTCATATGCCAGTGAGTCAGTGAGTTACAAACCTAGATGAAAAATAATTTATCTGTTCATGAACTAATATACTTGGACAAAATGAAAAAAAAAAAAAGGAAACAAACAAAAGAAAACAAAAAACAAACAAAGCTGAATCTTCACTTTGGTACTAAAAGTCTCTGGTTCTTATTACAAAGGTGGCATGCAGTTTTGAAGTTTGGCAGGAGAAATACAAAAATATAAATATAGGCTTTAGACTGTTCTGGTGAAGTCCCAGGGATTGAAGTCCAACTGACTGAACTGATTCAATGATTCACACTTCTGTCTATGGACTCCTACAAATATCAGTTCCAGAACTAAAAGAACATTCAAAAGAAAACATTTTCTTCTGTGGCTCTCCAGTGAAACCGCAAGTGTATGTGGAGATAACAGGAATTGAGATACCACAGCTACGTACTTTGCTTAGTTGCACAAACATATTGAGTTGATCATAGGACATGGTTTTAGGGTTACTGCCTCAGGTTGTCAGAAATCTGAAAGCATCACTTGAGTATAGGTCCCACCTCCTATACCTTGTGTTCCAGATAACTCTTCAAAACTAGGATTGCTAGTAACATAGAAGCAACTATGATTTAACTATGTAACCCGAGGATTCACTACAGCAGAGTAGAATCACGAAGGCTGATTCCACCAGCTTAGGGTGTGCTTTGTCAGAAAATGGACCAAAATTAGAAGAAGGTACTCTCAAACTTTCAGCATGAAGTGACTTGAATTTCACATAGGGTGGATCAGTGGGAACACATCACGCCAGTGCACCATGTACAGTAGCTGACCTATTAATTCATTTCAGACCAGGTTTCTTATTTTTACAGCCCTAACTGGGCTAAGTCTTATTTATCTGAGAAACTGTCTCTTTGTACAGCTCATTACAACCGAGACAGACATATTTGCTCTACAACACGGTTTGAAAAAAGGATTCTTTCATCTAAGGTCTAAACTATGAATTTAGTTTCAGCTACACAAAATTCTGGACATCTTTGTTCCTTGTCTACACAATAATCACAGTGATCTAAAAAGGTATTTAGTTATAGAATACCCAAATTTATAAAACATGTCACTGATTACTTGCCTTTAAATACAGAAGCTTGTAAAAACAAAAATATTGCTTAGGCTGACTCCACCCAAGTGTGTGTCTAGCATTGTCTGACATCATTTGCCTACGACAACAGCTATCTGTGAAACAGACCCTTATTCAGGAGGTTAATGTGAGGTAGGAACGCCATTCAGTGTTATTTTGGCTTAAGGGCATAATGTCACAATTTGGTGCATCCTTTAATGACTTTTTTTTTTTTTTTTTTTTTCTGAAGGCAGCTTACAGCTTAGACCTAGTTCAGTGAATTTCCTTGCAAGGTCCTTGGAAAATGGGGATGGGTGGGGAGCACAATTGATTGTGTGGCCAAATTTTTTGTTCATGCCTGCTTACTGATTTTTGTTCATTTCACAAATAAACAAGGCATGAATACATCAACCCACAAACCATAAACAATAAAGAACTTCATCCTGTAAGTTTGCTACGGCCAGCAGTTTGTGGTTGAATCTGCTATTTGTCATAAGATAAATGATAAAGTGATTGCCATTTGTCACTGAATACACAAGAGAAGTATTCAGCTGTGAATCACACAAATGCAGGCAAAAGTAAATACTGCTGTTCTTTTGAGTAGCTTCTTATAAAAAGATCTGCTTAACTATAAAAAATTATTTTCCTAACTCTCTGTACAAATTTAATATGCTAACAATTTTATATGAATACACATATACCCATAAAACACATAAGCATTTACAGTATAAAAATCAAAAATTTACTACAATTCATTGTGCATAGCAGGAAAGGATACTTCTATATAGAGAGGTATTTTATAAAGTTAGGTGTAGAATTTAATTTATATGTATTGTTCCCATTTTTGTACTGTTCAGTGATTTTTAATACAAACTTTTTTATGTTTCTGGGAGTCACTGGTGCTTGACGGCTTTCAGCTATATTAATAGAGTTTATAACAGTAC